ATACAAGCAGAGACTTGTATGAATTTTTCCCTCATGCAAAGGAAGGAGTTCCCAGAGCGTCTTAGTCACTTGGCCCAGATGTGGGGCAGAAAGTGAGACATGAAAGTTTCATCAATAAATTGAGCGACACCCTTAGCTTCCAAAATGTCTCTCCCAATTGCTTTTTATAGCACTTACATTTTCAGCATCAAAAAATTATTTATTTAGATTTAAGCTCATGTAAATGTTCATGGAAGATGAAATGGGGAAAGGTTCACTTTTCATTAGCAACTTAGAGAATAAGTGCCCATGGTGAAAACTGAATGAACCCTTGCAGAAGGGACCCTGAATGGGTGGAGTTTGGAGGGTGGCCTACAAGGAAAGAACAGATTCTTGATATAAAGAAATGCTCATTAAGATGGTGGCTAGGTGGATCCAGTCACAGCAATTCCTCTTAGCAGGAGGCAGAATATGATCAGTGATACAAGAGGTGGAAGTTACTGGAAATGAGAAGAGGTACAGAAAAGGGGGTGGGCCTGGGGTCAGAGCAGAAGACTGGACTATCAATGTCCCTTGTTAATGACTTTTGCATTTAACTCTTTGATTAGGTATTTTTCTCTTTGTTGAACTACATGTTTGAATTATCTTTCTCCACTAAAAACATTTTTTAGCATGTTTAATTCCTTTCTGTTGTTTAAGCTTTGCCTCTCTGTATGCTTATTGAATATGACATCAGTCCGAGTGACTGAGGCTAAAAATTTCTCTGCATTCTTGCTACTTTTCAGAGAATTCCACTTTTAACAAAGTGAAAACATCCGTCAGGAGTGGTTGAGGAGGGTTATGGAGCCAGCACTTCCTGACAATGATATGTTACAGCATCATATCGCCAGGCACTGACTAGTTCAGCTCTGGGTACTGTGCGCAAAGAATATGAGAAAATAGTTCCGATGGTGGCAATAAAAGCTTGGAGCATCTTGTGCTTAACTATTAAACAGAGTTGTAGATATTTTGGCAGAATATCAAATGGAAAATGTTATACATGAATAAGTGCTGTTCAAGAGCAGTCGTTCTACAGACAGCATCTGAGGCACAGTTAATGAGAACATGCGGTAAATGCTCATGCTGGGCGACATGTTTTATTAATGCCGTGTCATTGGTCATTTCAGAAATGCCCGGAAAAGGGCTCCCTGAAACATTCAATGAAGCTGAGCTGTACAAGTGAAAAGTACAGGCACAGACCATCTGTAATCTCCTATGGTAGATATTTGGCCAAACAAGAAACCACTGTGGGGTGGGTGTGGCCAAGTAAGGGGCAGAGGACCTGGACACAGGGAGTGGTGTGGTGAAGGGGCGCATAAGGAAGGAGAAGCAGGCTGTGGGTCGAGGAGGCAGTGCTGCAATGGGGAGCAGGAATAACGCATCTGAAGGGGTCTGTCCTGAGTGTGCAGGAGGCAGTGGGCAGGTGATGGAGCCTTGCCCAGGTCTTCAAAGAAGAATCTTTTCATCAACAGCCTGACCTGCATATAACACTGTATTTTAGACACTTAAAAATATATTTTAATCTCAAATATGAAATATTTAGGGCACGCAAATAAGATTTAAGAGTTTAGCAAAGATCTATAGTAAAATGGATAAGCCTAGGAAATGACATAAAATACATCATCCAGAGATAAGCACCACCCAAATTTCATGTTTACTATTGCTACTTACATTGCCATATTTCTGTGATA